ACGACTCAACTATCAGACACATAAACAAGCTATTTATACAAGTCGGTTTTTAAATTATCAAAATCTCCCGAAACCAACAAATTTAGTAAGCAAACCTGTTGAACGTCCAAATTTTGACTAGGATCTTTTACAATCTACGCTGGTTTTTTTTTTGATTTGTATCACTATGGGGTCTTGTACCAAAGTCATATATTATGGAACCGATTTATTTTATACGTTACGTTTATAAATTCCGTTTAGCATACCTGGGTCTTTTACAAAAATATACAAATAATAGACCTGGTAAAATATTCGGTATAAATCAAGGTGGTATTGTCAGCGAGGGTGTGCTCTATTCGGAAAATTGTTTTTTCGAACAAAGCAACTGTTTTCATAAGTTCTGGGACATCTAATAAAAAATTAGCCGAATGGTTGTTGGCTGATTTGATAGACTTTTGGTTTGAAACATGATTCACATATAAAACGATGCGATTTATCGTTGCCATTGCCTTTTTTTATTTGTATTTTAATTTTTATATTAGGCATTACTAGCTAAAGATGTCTAGAAATGCCTTTTTGATAAAATGATCTGCTATTTTTTATTATTATTAATAAATCACTAGTAAGAAGACAAGTCATTAGCGGAAGCTCTTCGTCTCTAAGGGAATTGAGCTTTTTTCATAATCGGATTGATTCTAAAAGAGCAGAAATGTTAGCAGAAGCTCTTTGCAAAAATGCCAACTTCTTTGGATCTCGGCTCGAATCTGATTAGTGCTCAGAACGGGCCGAGTTATGAACCAACCCAAACCCGACCCGAAATTTCGAGTTCGGGTTACAGCTGTTATCATTATTCCTGTGAAAAATTAACCGAATGATTATTCGATTATAAATCAAAATTCGTGTGAAGCTACAAGGCTTCAAACGATCTCTACGTTCATGTCCTAACTAAAGTTCCATTTCTAATTGTAACTCATACAAATATTAATTGAAGTCTTAAGATATTTATATCATTCAGATTTAATACGTAAAAATTTTTTTAGTTTGTAAAATTTAAAAAAGTGGTTTAATTTTTGTTATTACTATATTAAAATTAATTATGTGATGATTTTAAATCGTGATTTTCTCAAAATTACATGATTATCCCACTTCCCCTTTTTGCTACGGGCTTTAGGTCAGTTACGTTTACTAATTGATCTACATACTGCATAAATTGTGATCTTGATATTTTTATAAAATCATACCATAACTGCATCAAAAAAGCCACCCCTAACCTCACTGGACTTTAGCCATCCCTATTTTTGGAATGAAGAAGTTAATTCCGGCTGAAAATTAGTAAAAAATTATGTAATGCGAGCCAAAATTTTGCAGATCCGCGGCCAATTTCGTTGTGGCAGATATGGTTAATCGGCAGCTATGGTTAATATGCTTCGCTCCAGACAATAAGCGATGATTTGATGTTACACGAAATCTTGCGTTCTGATTCTGATTGACATATCTATGCATACACAATAGGCTTAGTAAAATTTAAATTAAAAAAAGTTACCAAAGCGTCCATAACTTCCAGTAAACAATTTACAAATTACAATAACTTTACAACTTTGCTTGTACTGTATAATATTTGTCAAAATTATAATTTTTTAATTGTGGATCAAGTCAGTCTGTCTAATTTTAATTGGTAATCAATCATACACATGATTAGTCAGTTAATAAATCAAAAGCAGACAAAATACTAGATAATAAAGAATAAAATAATAATACATAAGGATAATTTTACAATATACAATTACATAATATACAGAAATAAATTTCTTAAATCTTCTCCGCCCAAAATCTATGTGTCCTAACTTTAGTTTTATACTCATCCACTTCCTTTATGTAATCATCGAAATGTGCATCATATTCTTCTAAGGTCATTCCAAATTCTTTAGAAAATTTTGAGGCATAGCATTTAAACGCAAATATAGTATTATCAAGTGCTAATTTACCAGCTTTACCACCCTGTTTACCGAGAGGACAATCTCGGTATTCATGGTTTATGTTTTTTAATTTGCCAGTATCTTGTAGCAAAGAACCCATTTTTTTTGGTATATTGATCTCTATTTCATGAGATTCAAGGTCTTGGGCGACTTTACAAATTAATTAATTAATTAATTAATTAAGGATAAATCAATTAAACGAAAATTAAATAGCAAATAAAAATAAATTGTGATTTATTTACGTGCACTCATGAGTCGTGTACAAAGTGGGCCCTGATTACACGCTTCCAAGTCCCATTCCATAAATTCAACATACCTGCCTGATTTTGTCACTCGAATTATCTCTATAACAAAAACGCAAAAAAAACAAAAACCAAAATTGTAGATCAGTTATTTATATAAATGTAAATAGTGCGTCGTAAGACATAGATAATTTAGAAATCCAGTATTTTTAATGCATTAACGTTAAGATATTAGTACAATAATAAGGCGTAATTATAAATAGCGGCTTGTTAATGCCACCCCTACATAATTCTAATTGGTCTTTAACCCTTCCGGAAACTCTATGAACAATGCTTACCCTAACTGCTAACTAATTAATCACATGAATTTTAAATACTGTGTAGAATTTTCACGATTTTAGACCGGTTAGGGTTATATAGGGAGTGGCATTAACAGTTCTCTATAAATATTATAAATGAATAGATGGTCCGAGATTTTATTGTCAATTGTAAATAGGAATTCCCTAAATAATTGAAATTACCTGGAATAGCATGAGTCGCCCAGCAATTAGCGGGAAATGCAGCATTAAAAAATCTAGTAAAAGTAAAATCAAAATGATCATCAGGAAATGGGAGGCCTTCTAATATATCAGCTTCTACAAAATCTGTATTCTGAGGTTTAATTGTTAATGGCATCATTGGTATGATATCAACACCTATGAATTCGCATTTTTGAAAGTCAAAAGCCATCTCTAAAGTCCATGTTGCTGGACCACAACTACAAAATCATAAAGGATTTTAGAAGACAAATACATATATATATATATCAAAGAAAAATATGGGTGATATGTAATAAACAATAAAAATGAGCGTTTATTATAGGTTATAAAGTTCAAAACGAACCCAACGTCAAGAACACGTGCACCACCTTCATGTAAAAGGTCACGCACAGGAGAAGAAAAATTCGATTGCCAGGTATATCTTACTAAATAATGTTGCAACTGTAACCTGTCTATTTCTAGATCGTCACTTGGAAGGTAATAATGTAAATTTTCTATATTATAATATTTTCTACCATCTATAACTGTAAAATCTTCTTGAAAAAATTTCTTTATTGATGAAGGAGGATCATTTGAATTGCTAGAATTATCCGAATGCTTAAATTTATGGTAGCGAGACTTAATATTTAAATTTAATTTTGAATGATTTCTTCCCATATTTGTATAATAAAATAAGAATGGATGTATGGTTAAAGAAGTGGATAATTTGTAGATTAAATACCTTACATTTTTTTTGGTTTGTATTGCAAAGAATTCAAACCCACCCAGTAGTATTTGTTACATCGATAAAAAGACGTAATCAATCAAAACAAATAGACGTTGCAACACTAATTTTCCGATGTCAATTAAGATAAAATTTATGTGACATTGGTATAGCACATCATTATCTAAAATTTTGACACTAATGATACATCTACGTAGTGTATTATAAAAGGCTAGTTCTAGCAAGCTATATTAGGATTGTTTCATTCATACCTTTTACCTGACTCCCTAAACAAAAATTACTGGAGTATTGATCATCGTTATTTAGGGTGTGCAAAATGCTTGTGTCAGAAAATGATTGACAAAATACTTTCTAAATTTCATCCCGGATTAAAATTTAGTACAGCGATTAATTGAATTTTATTCATATTTTTTGAAAAGTTAAGTTGTTTAGTTTTCAAAAATATAGGATCAATTATTCATTTTAAAAGTAAAAAACCTTGATGAGATAGATTACCAAAAACAGGTAAATCATCGTAAATTACCATTGAAATTAGTGATGTGTTACGGCTTAATCCGTAACTAGCTAAAGCTTATGTCGTACGTAACTAGTTATGGCAATCATTGGAGCGATTCTACAGCATCACTAATTGAAATATACAAATAACTGTAACTTTATAATATTACAGTTTGATATTTAATATAAACTAGTATGTGCAAGAAATTATGGATAATAACAAAAGGCTGAACTACAGTATAGGTGGGCAAGCCCGATAATTGTCACGTGTACATATTAAAAAAAAATCAACCGTGCCCACCTACATTGTAGTTTACCCAGCCAGATGCTGCATGATTTTTTTTTTTAAAAAAAAAAAAATGTATAAAGCTTCATAGTGTTGCTAGTATTATATTCACAAATTGATTTTTTAGTATGACCAAGATATCGTACTACGTCTGTAAACACGAAACACGATCTGATATCGATATATGGGGTTATCGGTCAGTTGCAATTGTTAGCCTATTTTAAGAAAGGTTTGCAAAAAATTGGCATTTTTGACTGATTTAGGATAATGAATAAAATGTAATCAGATTTAATAGAAAATTCGGTAATAAATATATACTTTATATGGGACTGATTGAGGTCAGTTCAATCAATACTGACCAATCTATTTAAATTAATCCAAACCAATAAAACATGGCAAATTGCTTACAGAAAATTAGATTTTCTATAACTTATTGGCCGAAGACAGCTAAAAAATCAATTTTTACAAACTTTTTCAAAATTCTCCAATTACTGTTTGATTAACTGATATGAAACCTAAATAAGATTCGTTGACAAAAGTGATTATTAATTATCACATACTCAGAACCTCATTTAATTTTAAGCACATACCAGAATACTATTCGATTAATTTTTGGATGTAAGTTATGTGATGATCAATAATAATAAATTGAACCTACGTGTAAACTAACTTTTATGTTTCTTCTAATTCGTACTTCTTATTTGTATTTCCTTATATCTTTTATTCATGACAAAAAATGGAAACAAAAGCAGCTAAGCCTCTCGGTGCAAAATAGTGCGGATAAATAATTTACTTATTCTCATTAGTTTTAATTCGTAACGTAAGTTAACCAGTTTACGTATGTCAACCGATTAAGCCGTAAGACTTAGCTTTATAATATTGTTCAGATCATTTTATTTTATTTCATGAGCACACATTCATAATGAACTTTGAATATAGCAAGTCAGTATGGAATACATGGAGCACTTTATAAAACCATTGTAATTTCATATAATGATCTTGATTCTTTCAAAACTGTCGATTTTTCATTATAGCAAATAAATTAGATACATAATTTAATGTATTTGGTTTATTGATATAGCAATTAAGATCAAAAAGTTTGTCTTTTACAATAATTTACTTGAATTGATGATACTTTTTTTCTTATTAAAATAAAATAAAATAATACATCAGGTATGTCACAGATCATAGTACTATATGCAAAGTATCCCCCATTAAAAATGTTCATGGTGAGGAGTAGATCCTATGTATAGCACCTAGGTATTATATAAATCTTACTTGTAGAACGTATCGTACCCGGGTATTATGGTTCACGCTGTATAGTAAAATAAACCCGATAAAAAAATTCATGGTTTTGAATAATTAATTTGTGTGCCTTGTTTGTAATACAATCAATGAAAAGGTTTTAGTTCACAGGTTGAAATAAGGCAGAAACTTTACTCGATTAGGATAACAATATCACAAATTGGATTGATATGGGCTTTAAGACGTATCGGCATCCGATAGTTCTATAAGATTATCGATAGAATTATTCCGATAACCAATTGGTATCTCTATTCGAGCCAAGTTTCCGTTTAGAATCGGGATCAATCAATATTGATTTGAACCCGATTTGTCTTATTTCGATCTGTGGTTGCTTATTAATTTAAGTTACATATTAAAAAATTTTATACTTGTTCCTTCTAACCATCTATTATCTTAAATAGATTCATTTCCCTATACCAGCCGTTTCTCCACAGACTAGAAATTGATAGCGTTCCTTTGATATATCTTTGCCACATAGAGCATTACAAATGCCGTTATTAATCACATAAATGAGTCCGTAAACATCTCAATGCATAGATATTACCATTACGGTGCATTTGTAAACTACCCGAATTTTGAAAAAGATTGACTACTGATAATGTGTCAATTTAATTTGACTTCACGTATACATATCAATATAAGCTGGAGTTATTATGATAATTGTGAAATATGTCCTGATTTAAATTATGATATACTACTGCTCCCCGAACCTGACGTCTAACCCATCTTCCCTAGGGGAATTTACTAATTTTCCCCACCACTTCTGATTGGTTCGACTAATTAGTAATAATAATATCCTGATTCGTTGGGAATTAGCGGAAACTTCGTTTCCGCTTATTCACATACGGTCAGGGTATTATTAATTAATCCTCCCGTAATCTTGATATAGTGATCGGTGATTATACACATATCGTAGTATTTGTGTTATTAATCAATTTTATAGCTCTCCGATAGTCAAGTGGTGAAGGAAATTAGGCTCCCTTTCCCTAGGGAACCTGGCACACCTAAAATTATATGGCATGCCATACTATAAGTATAGTAAAAAAATTTTTTTAAATATTTATTGGATTTTTTTTTTTGACCAATCAGATTATACAAAAATAATTTTATAATAATTTTATAATAAAGTATGCCATCCTAATTTTTGAGCCCTAATCTTCCCACCATTCACCCATCTTTTCACTATATCTGCTTAATTTCCCTAATTCCACAAATGCACCGTAATGTCAGAGACAGTTGACGCATTATATTGTGATATTGCCGGGCTAAACGGCGGATATTATGCCCTGAATAGTCACTAAATTTAGTTTAAACACCTTATTTAAATTTTTTTTTTTGATTAGATATGACGAATTATTAGAGTGATTGTTTTGATTTAATGGAATCTATTCTGCACGATTCTGTAAGAAGGATTTAATGAATATGCATCAAACCCATGAGATTATCATCCAACTTATTAGCCTGGACCTACTGAGACATGCTATTTGACATTGTTATTGATGTTAAAAATAAAACCTTTCTGATAATTATATTGTCAATTAATCTATGCCGCATATGGTCAACTCTATTGTTAACTAAGGTATATTACCAACATTATGATTATTTTGGATCAGGATTCGCATTCGCAAAATTCGTTAGTTGTATTTTTGGGCAACTTTTTAATCTTGTTTTTAGTGGTGAGAAAACACTCAAAAATTTCTTTTTGTTGGAAGCTTTTTTTTAATGGATTAAACATAAATGATAGTTGCGATCTTTTAAAATTATCTTACCTCAAAGACATTAATGCATCTTGAGCCCTCATTCTGCAGCACTTATATCCCAACATTGTGAAAGACTAACCTTTATTACTAGTAGTTCTATATTTCGAAAAAAAATTTTTATCGTTTCAAAGAGGATACACCAGGAATTATAAAAGAAATTTGGCTATTGGTGTGAAGAGACGACGAAATAAACATGACCGTAAAAAAGTTTTTAAGCAACCGTAATTATTAAACGCGTGTTAAACGCGTAAACTGTCGATCATCGCTTCACATGTGACGTAACGTTACACGCGAATCCACAAATGTTACCACACAGTGATTAGCATATTTTTGTTTATTTTGAAGCTAATTTATATGAACAACTGATTTCAAATAATTATTGTTTTTATAAACTATGAGACAACTGAATTGGAATCAATAAGTTACTAATGTCAGCCGAAATCAGAAACTTATTTATTTGTCCCACAATTTACGAAAACAACTGTAAATCGAATTAACCAGTTATCTGTATTACATTTTATGGTCAGTATTGTTGAGTTAGTTCGCGTTATGTCATAATACAGATAGAATTCGTAAATGCCCGCATGATAATATTTCCCTGGACATTAGGAATAATAAATATTTCCCGTGGTGTGCAACAGGGTCATTTCACCGACAATTTTATTTCACAAGTTTTTTCATCAACCTTAACTCTAATCCTAATCTGACCCTAACGAAAATGACCAGAATTACTTTGTCGGTGAAATGACTGTCGATGAAATAATTGTTGATGAAATAAGCTTGTCAGTGAATTGACTGTCGGTGAAATGGGCTGGTGGTAAAGTGATTGTCGGCGAAATGAGAAATGAACACCACCCAGGTTAGTCATGTAACAAAAAATTATTGGTCCCGAGATCTTCAAGCTATTAGAACTATATTCGAGCTAGGGATAGGATAACGCGAATTTGCGATAGCATAATCTGCGCATAAATTTGATTTTATCGCAGAAGCGTATGCAATAACATAAAATGGTCGGAGTTAAAGATAGAGTAATATCGGAACATTTAGACAGTCAACGAACGCAAAACGCGTGTATGGAGCATAGCGTCTTTAATTTTGATTGGCCAATCATTAAATGTATCGTCACATATTACACTGGATATATCATCTGACTTTAAACGAATTGGCAAAGGATTCGACACACAAATTCTGAAATTACACCTTTTATTCTACCTACAGTAAAAATAATTCGGAGAACGGAGGAATAAATCAGAAGTTAGCGACAGGGTGCACTTTTTGTCTTATAGGTTAAGGTAATTCAGCAATCGGCAAGGTAACTCGTACCTTGGCTAATAAATATTAAACTTTTTTTAAAGTCTTGAAAATAGCGATTCAAACAATAATACTTACAGTTAGCAGTTTTTTAACATTTTTCTGAATATAGTTTATTCGACTAAGTTTTCAAAAACTACACAATATATTAGATATAGTGTATGCGTAGATATGTAGTGTTCCGACCCGTCACCCCGTGGGTGGGTCACCTGGGTGGTAAGAGAAATTCCGCAACGAGATTTATACAAATAATCATTTGTTAATTTGGATTTTTATTTATGCAACGCTTAAATATAATTTTTGTACTCAACAACAAGAATAAATTGTAAAATATTTATGAGGTTGAGTGGCTTATTTAAATACTTGGAATGACGCGCTAAATTAATGCGAATGATAAAATTAAATAGTAAATATTCATGAACTTTAATATCTTATTTTAATGCTTATATATAATCATATTTATTATGAATTTGGATAGCTTAATGCTCATTATTCTTCACAATATAAAGTTAATTATGAATAGTAAATAAAGCTGGAATAACTTACTTTGAATATTTATATCAATAAACGTTCTTTATACTCATGAATTAAAATGAACGAAGTGATATGTAAATATTCATTAGCATAATATATTTATTAAATACTAAATTAATTATACTCATGTACTAAATATAAACACTGTAATCTTCATGAACCTGGGTAGCTTAATTAGAGTTGTTATCTGCTTGAATATCCCAACTCAAGCTGTATTGTGATATAGATGTGGATTCAAAATTCATGACTAGAACATGATTTTCTAATACGTAGTCAATAATTTGAGTCGCGGTTTAACTCTAAGCAGTAGCTCAAACCATAGCTAGTTTTATTCTGCAAGACACTTCTAGATTTAATCCACATTATATTCACATTCTAAAAATAAAATTATAAATATCTAACCTGGGTTACTCGGTTATAAACTCTACTCTTTTATCCTTGTACATTATAATTCCTGTAACCTTAAGGTATTATTTGATGGGAAAAAACATGAATAACGGCCACAATTAGATCAATTTGGCAATTCTGCCAGCAGGTGACCCGTGGGTTGACCACCAGATGCCATAATTCAACCCGGGTGATACCTACCCGGGTCAGATGAAAGTAAACGAATTATGTAGTAACGGTGGATTCACTAAATTATTATCCGTTATTTCAATTAGAGTATTTACTGCAGAAACTATTTTGGCCTATTACAAACTGGTTATGATATAAGTTGTAATAGCTTCAACACAAGCTGTAACATTTATAATACAGTATGAGCGATTCCCAAGGAAACTAAACTTTGGCTTCGGCTTTTAAATCTAAAACTTATCCCTAAAAATTCTTAAGACTTTAGTCCGGCATGTTATAAATTTAAGAGTTCGGAGTTTTGTTTTTCTTAGCATCACTTATATATAAATTATCAGTTTAGTTCGACACAACCTTTCATTTTAACCTTACGCATCTCCAATTCAAATTTCATTCTGATGCAACTCATTTTAAATCCACACCCATTCTAATTTTCACGCACAACATATATATAATTACGATTATTGATTAATTAAAAGGGTTTTATTTAATCAGATTTTTATTTAAGGGAACTTCTAATTTTAACTAGAGGAAATTCGCCGGAATGCCATATCTCAAGAATGTACTAGCTACACATGTCGGGTATACTAAGTAAAAATGTTCAGAACCCTCAAAAACCTAACCCTAACTAAAATTGAAAATTAATATTTAAACATTGTCTTACCCTAAAACTCCTAAAACTGCACTCTAACCTTAAAAACATGAGGCGAACTTCCCTTCCGGTTATTTTTCTCTATTTAATTAAATTTTATATAATTACAAGGACTTATTTTTAATATAACTATAATTATATAGTGTACTCTATATCTTTATACGTACGTATGCATCTAGAAAATATAGAAAGCAAAATTTATAAAACTTTTATAAGATAGGACTAAGCTATACCATGTACTTATGGAATTCTAACTATAATTACCAATTTTATATACTAAGAGTGTGACTATGGAAAGTATAGCTATATAGTATTTTTAATTATATGGGCTAGGTGCTGGGAAAAGGGACCAGATTGACAAAAAATTGATTTTGCGGAAAATTGATTTTTATATATTATAAATTAACTCATAGGAAAATACAGATGTTAAAAGATTTATACTGTAAAATTTTATTAATGTAAAGCATTTCTTTCTTAAGTGAAAAAATGTTCCTGAACTAATTTTAAATTAGTTAAGCTTAAAAAATTTATTTTGAAAAAATTGTCAATTTGGTCCCTTTTTCAAGTACCTAACCCATATAAAATTTAAAATTAAAAGCTAAAAAAAAAATCCCATAATGAAAAACAGCATGTAAATGCATATGCGATTCCCAGTTCTCTACCGACTTCTGATTCGATCATTATGTTATAGTACGTACGTGCGATACAATTGAATCTAACAAATGGTTTAACATATTGTTTAGTATTTTAAGCTTTTTGGTCAGATCGGTGAGGATCAGATGATCACATGTGTAGACAACTTCTTTATCGAATTTAAAAATTGTGATGTCACGTACATACATATAATGCACATAAATTTAAATAATATGCTATATCTAGTAATGTACAAATAATATTATGCTTCATTACAGTAAATATACAAATAATATATCATTTAGGATGTCTTTCGAAAAACAGACCCCAATCAAGCATTACACGCTTTACGCAAATTGGTGTCATTACACGTAAAACTTTTACCAACAGAATTAAAAATTATTCATCATTCCAATAATAATTAAATTGTCGCAAAAATGTTTATTTGATCAGAATATAATTGGCCTAGTCAGCTAACTAGTTACCTACAAAAAGTAAACAGGGAGGCGATCTAAGCTCGACTATAAAGGGTAGTACAAAAAGAACAATAATTGATTTGAATATATGTTCTTATTTATATCTATTATATCTGAAAATACTGTATAATCAAAATAAATCTGTAAATGCGATCAAAGACTAAACTTTTTCCTTCGGTAAAGCAAGGTCTTTTGAAATACATTCTCTTTTATAATTATACGATCTTTTTTTTTTTTTTTTACCAATGTTTGATTTAACCAATAAATCAGATTCCTCTGATAACATTTCCGAAAATGACATCCAGAATGACACATTATTGGACTCATTCCGGTATATAAATGGTCGAAGATATCATAACAATAGTGAGGTAAGCTACTTTCTGCCAAATGATGAAAACGAAGGTAAAATACTGTTTGGAATTCTAACTTAAACTTGATTTGTGAAGATATCTTAATATTAAACATTTATACATATATATAATAGTAGACCGATTGAATTTTCAACATTCTTTGTTAAAATATGCTTGGCAAGGAAATTATTCATCACCGGTGCAAGAACGATTGGCAGAAGGAAAGGCCAGAGTATTGGATGTCGGGTAAGTTTAATATAGAATTTTTCTAATTTAGGATCATATATTAATAATTCATATTAACTAACATTATGAGAAGATGTGGGACCGGAAAATGGATTCTTGAAATGAGCTGTGACTATCAAAATTCTACTTTTATCGGCTTAGATATTTCACCAATATTTCCTGACCCTTCAGAAACACCTCAAAACGTTGCATTTTTACAATGCAACGTCAATGATGGCATTCCTTTTCCTGATAACACATTTGACTTTGTTTTTCAACGGTTTTTCTCAAAATACGTAACTGCTAAGCAGTGGAAAGATGTTACTCAAGAAATAGTGAGAGTGACAAAGCCAGGGGGGTGGATCGAATTTTTTGAAGATGACATTGAATATGAGGAAATTGACCATTTTTGTTTGCAAATTTTGAATGCAAGTAAGTATAGATAATATTAATAATGAATTTACTTTTATAATTAATTCTTACATATTTTTTTTATTTGTTAGTTTTTACTGCTATTGAAGCAAAGAAAGGAAATCCACATCCATCCGCGATTATTCCATCAACTCTTCAGACTATACCAGAATTATCAACCGTTCATCATAAAAAAGTTTCAATCCCAATAGGTAAATGGGGAGGAAAACTCGGTGAACTGGTTCGTGATAAATGTTTTATTGCTAAATAATTTATTGTTATTTTATTATGATCTATACTTATTTTAATCTCTTTTTGACAAAATAGATTTCAAAATTACATATAAAGACATTTCAAAATTTTGCCTTTATCATGACATCAACATTAAACATTTCAAATGAAACACATAATGACATATGCGAAGTTGTTGCTCAAGGATTTGATATAAACAAAGTGTCTTCGATTACGTATAGATGGTTTGCACAAAAAAAAATAACATAAATTCTTATACAAATTAATATGTTTGTTTTTATTTTTTTAAATAGTTTGTAACCTGCATATCCTGTAATTATTTTAGGTGTTGAGATCTCTAATCCGAAATAAATAATTAATTTCTTGTGTGAATTTTCGAAAATCTTAAATCTTGATTTTGCCAATTATTATAAATTTAGGCACTTTGACAAGAATGTATTTCTATATTCTAGTAGTAGACCAGGATACATCTAAAGTCATCGTGTATCTGATAAACACAAATCTAAAATACATGTTTTTGATGAGTTTTCAAACGCTATGCATTTATATCTACAAATGTATAACCGACAGAATTGTTGATTTAATATTGAAGAAAATCTCTATGCATTTCATTTATTCAAATAGATATTTTTATGCGATACAATATTTCCATGATAGTTTAATATAAAATTGAGCAGCAATTATGCTTATTTTATCAATAATAAGATGGATCATATCTTCATAATCATGAATAGAGTGAAGAACTTCTATGCCAAAGTCTTGATTAGGTCTCTATGTTGAAGGTCAACGAGTAACCCTGTTAATTCGTTCTGGTACGCTAACTATTAAATGTAATGATCACAAGGCGTGAAATACTAAAAACTGAACTTTGTTTTTAGCCAAGTTCAATAAATCAACCAAATACACTGCTTCTTATACATTCATTTGGACCATTAATTGCGTACTCAATCAATAGTTCTACCTGATTAGATATGTCAACAAGATAATAATATCAACGTTCTCAAGATTATTGATTGCACTTTTCTATTAGAACTTTATTCAAGAATTGAAAGTATAAATTTTTGACTTATAAACAAATTTAATTCCAAAGCATATACTGTAGTAATATAACGTATTAATTTTATTTTAAAAGCATTGGCAAGTTATCTGAGTGAAATTTTGTTTCCAGTTGACAACAGAAAAAATTTTCAGGTTATCTCACAACTTTTCTACTATAAATACAGCAGCATTCACCTCAATCGGGAAATTAGAATCTATACGCAGGAAAAAAAAGGTAACAATAGAAATAAATACGCATATTTTAAATTACCTATTTTTTTGTATTTGTCATCGAGGATTAGGATTGTGCTTTCAATCTAAATCTCAAATCACTACGTAGTAAATGTTGCATCTAAAGTACGATTATCTAAAGTACGATTATCTAAAGTAGCGCCTGGCTAAAATTAAGCCCTTGAAATTAGATCTTCATGCATGCATTAAGTTATAATTTTAGCCAGGGCGCTACTTTAGATAAATAAAGCAGCTACTTTAGATAAATCGTTACTTCAGATGCGACAGTTATATCTCAAAATCTTTATTATAAATGGTGATTGTTTTTTTAAGGTCTGAAATGTGTGCAGGTTTTGCCGACAAATGTATCGAGAATCCTCAGGTCTATTGCACGAGACACATTATTATTGCTTCAGTTTCCTTCACAACACGGAAGTGGCGCGTTATTGTACTTCTCAATACTTTGGAAAGTATCGGATTTCGTTCTTATCGCAGGTTTTGAACATATGAATTTTAGTAAACCGGCTAAAGCAAGCCGCTTCTAAATGAGTGCCACTAAAGGACTAATAGCTGTTCTAGTACACTCAATATATCCTAGTAAACTTTAATACAAATACAAAATTGAAATATATGGCTCAAATTTCAATTTAGGCACAACTTTTGCAGAGCATTAACCCAGTATTCGATAATCCGCAAGAATTTATGGATTTTTTTAAAAAATATAATCCATGTATGAGCAGTCAACTTATTTCAATTGAATATTTTCAATTGTTGAGTCTATCAAACAGAATCAATTTGATTATAATGTTCATGATTAAACATTCTAAGTTGAAACTCTTCAAAGCAATCGTCGGCACCTTGATTTTAATACTCGGGATCACATACTTGACATCGTGCTATAAGGCAACATTTTCATAAATACCAATTCATTATGTACCGGTAATTTTTAAATTTAAATGAATAAAATTCGATTATAATAAAATAATCATAATTTAAAATATTTAGATTAATGAATAAAATGAAATTATGCATAGTAAATATTCATATTCATAAGCTTGAATAACTTATGTTAAACGCTTGGATTAATAAATACTTTATACTAAAATGAAAATTAATAGTAATATTAAATAGCTTGCGTTTTAAATACTTAGACTACACAGGTGCAGGTTCAGAAGGTTTAAAAATGGAACACCCAAGCAGGGGTGTTAGGTACGGCAATTGGTGGGAAACCTTCGGGTGGACTCCTTAAATAGGTAATATAGAAAAGTTACACGTGTAGTCAATTTTACAATCTTCCTGTAGTGGTTTATAGAATCATATTACCAAAAAAGTCATTAATAAAAGTCAAAAGATCAAAGAGGTCACTTAAAAAAAAAAAAAAAAATACTTAGACTAACAAATATCAAAAGTGATATTTGTTAAACTGAGAATTTTTTTTTGAGTGATTTGGATAAGTGATTTGATTGGACCAGGTTGGGAGTTTAGGGATTGGTCTGGATATTGTTACATTAGAGTAGGTTTATATTCACTACTAGAAGGTTATTCAGGCTAGTCTTTAAGATTGTTCCAATAAGGTTTCTTATTATTACTAATTAATTTTTTAACTATATTTGTATATAAGTTTTCTATTTTTTCATTTTCTGTTTTTTTTTTTTTTTTTATATCTTTTATTTTTTCTAAGTTCTTGTCTCTTGATCTTAATAAAACTTTGTGCAATTATTTGTCTTATTATTCTGCTGCTTCATTCTTGTTTTTTTTTTTTTTGTACTGATTTCTTGACTTTTCTTCAATTTGGATACTTTATTGTATCTTTTTTTTTAAATTGTTTTATAAAATTCATTTCATATGATATTTATTATACTCATTAGAAAATTTTTTGTTTTTTGTATTGAAAATAAAAATTTTTGTATTTTCTTAATTATTTTTTCTTGTAAAAGACCTTTAATAAATTTTTTTCTTATTTCTACTCTTTTTTCTTCTGTTTGATTTCAGATTGCTTCTTTTAGCTATATTTAAATAATACTTTTTTTTTTCTCTTTTGAAAATATTTTCTATACTATTATTATTGTCAATATTTCTACCTTTATTTAGTAGTTTTTATAAAAAGAGCATGTTGCTAAATAGTCTTGATCTTTTTCTTTTTCTTCTTTACAAACTATACAATTTGTATTTGCATACAAGTTTGGTTATATTATTATTAATTTTTTAAATATGTATATTCTTTCTTATATGCATTTAAAGAGTATACTTAGTTTTTTATTTTTTTTAATCAAAATGTATTTTGTTTCACTTTGATTTTTGATTTTTTTTATAATAGTACTTAATAGTATTCATTTTTTTCTCTTTTTGGTTCTAATTTTTTAATTGTTGATGTACAGCTTCAGTTTATATTATTTCTAATATTAAGAATTTCTTTAACAAAGTCTTGTGTTAAGTTTTTTATTACTTTATTTTTCTAAAAAAGTGATACATTAGATCTTGAACAGGTTCTTTTATTATTTTATTTTTATTTTGTATATTTGCTTTACTTTTTGTTATACTATCTGTTATGTTATTCCACCTATTATCACTATATTCCTTTATCTTTACAACTCTAAATCTAATTCTTTTGTTCATATTATATCTTTTATATTTACAACTAGATTATAATTTTTTTTTTATTCTTTTTTTAGTAATTAAATATTACTATATATACTTGCTATAGTTATAGCATTATTTGTATATATTTTAATTTTGTTTTGCTTAATACTATAAAAATTATATACTAAATAGCTAACACCTCTGTTTTTGTTAAAAAAAGCCATCTTTTAGCATCAATAGTACCTTTATTGATTACATACTCTTTTTTATTATTTACTTGCACCTAACTAGTTCTTATATAATCTGAGTTTTAATTTTTTGTTTCTTTTACTAGTGATCCATCTGTATAAAAGATCAACTCCTTTTGTTTAGCATTGTTTTTTTTAATATGTTTATATTTTTCTACTTATAACTTTGTAATTCTATTACTAATTTTTTATTTCTTAATTATTTCAATATCTCTGTTTTTTATATAATTTTTTTTAATTGTTTTTTAGAATCTGAGATCTTACAATCTTTTTTTTATGAAATAAATCTAACATATTTGTATTAATTTTTAGTTATTACACATTTTTTCTATTTGTATACTTTGTAATTGTTCTATAGATTTTATATTTTTTATATTTTCTTTTACAATTATCATTAGCATAGTTGTAGTTATGCATGCAGCCTTTATATTTTTTTAATATTGTTTTTTGTTTTTCTAGTTAATAACTTGCTTTTCAATATTCGATTTATACTATTTTAGATATTCTAGTTACTATTTTTTTTACTAATACTTCTTCTTTCTTGTTAAAAGTATATTATTTATAATTATTGATTCTTTTTGTCTTAAATTATTTGATAGTTTTCCTAATTGTGCTTTGATTCTTCTTTTGTTTAGAGCTGCAATTCTAAATACTGACTTCATTATTCTGCAGCTTAGTTCTTTTATTGTCTCTGTTTCTAAAATTTTAAACTACTTAACTGGTCTATCTTTGGCATTGTTTTTTTTCAAAAAACTTAGTTGTTGTCATATAATTATTTTGTTTTCTTCTTTGTTAATTAACTAATACACAACATCAACAACAATGTTGTTGTTTCCTCTTATATTGTGCAATTATATGTCACTATGTCATGCTGTAACCTGCGTGACCTGTGAATTGACCTGTGAAGCAGGTCAAAATAACCTAAAATGACCTGCTTCATAGGTCAAAAAGGTTAAAGTATGTATATACGTACGTATATATACGTACATATATATATGTATGTAACATATGTACATACGTCTTTTATATTGTATGATTTTTTGTTACAGTCACACATACATACGTATGTATATACATACGTATATAAAATAACTTAATCAGATCAGTAAAAAATCAATTGGCAAATTTTTTATCAGGTTTTTAAAGTTATGA